AAACAAGTTATTATCATAGGTGTCATCATTTGTATATTACTACTATATTTAACATTAATTATATTTTTTTTATGTGTTCCGCCTCTTTCACAACATCTTTGAACAGATATGTTACAACTATACATCCATTAGCATTATAGATGTTCATGGTTCTTCGAAGGAGTAGTTCCCATACGATCACAGAAATGAAATATGGTAAGTGGAGATTCGAATTCGGATGAGTGATCTGCGCATGGGTGTATCATAAAATTAGTTTTCGAATTTATAAAATAAATTTTTTTTTATTATAATTTAGTCGTGTATCCTCTAAAATATAATGCTTATTAAAATATAATGCTATAAATCAATAATACTTATTAATATTTTGAGACGGGTGCTTTTTATATAAAGATTATGCGTTTTGCGGATTTCTTCCGAGTTCAAATCTATTCTTGGAAGGCCAACGTTTCGTGAACCTTGCAGTTTACTTCATCAGGGTGAGGAGCAGCCTGATACTGAATTGTCCCTCCGGATCATTCCCTTTTTATATATTATGCTACTGTTGGTGTGATGGAGAGAAAGAAGAGAATTGTGGGTGGGGAGATGGAAATAGGGGATGGGAAATCGGTCAGTCCTCATTAACCGGGAGAATAGTTTTTCATATTTTATTTATATTATTTCTATTTAGCCATTATTTCTATTTAGATTAGGGTATTATTGTATCTTTATGATTTCTCTATACTTTCTTGAAAAATATGATGTAATGTTGGCTATTGTGGTCGTTTTATCACAGTATTTGATGTCCTGTTTCGATGTTGATTGCATGTGTTTTAATCTGACATCACGTTGGTGTTCTTTTTTCCGTAGGTTGACCATTCTCCCAGTTTCTCCAATGTACTTGCCCACAGGAACAAGGTATTTGTACACTCCTGCGGAGCTGAGTGGAGGTCTTTGCTTTAGGATTTCTTAAGATTGTCCTATCTTTTTGGGTGATTTAAAGATAGTTCGATATTGTATTTGTTTAATATCCTGCCAATCCGATCTATTGTTCCTTTGACATGGATTCTTATGGAAGAATGGATAGGATCCTCTTGTCTGATTG